TTAATCTGTCCATTTCCATAGCATCATATGGTTTGATTAACCACTCTTTCTTATTAGGTATAATATCCACTTTCCATTTCTGAGCATATAAAACCCTTGCTGTTGTGGTCATATATTTTTTTTCTGTACTTTTCCTCTATTTCTCCATCAAACATGCTTAACAAGTAAAATTCTGGTTTCATTTGTACATCAACATTTAAAATTCTACTCATTGTTTCCTTTATACTATTCCAGTATTATTTATTTATTTATTTATTTATTTGCCTTTCTACATGACCACCAACAGTGGTAAAATGTACCTGGTTTTTCCTTGCATTTCCAACATGCATTGTTTGTATTTTTATATATTTTGGAGATTTTGACTGATGTGATACCATCTTTAGTACATTTTGTAAAAGTTCTTCCTTAGATCCCGTGAGCAGGTATATTTTACTACTTTAGTCCATATAATCTCCCAGCTATTTAATTCAATTGTGTATCCCAAATCTTTCATCCACCTAATCATTTCTTCTTTTATTGTTTCTTCTTCTTCTAATCTGAACAAAAACCTCTCATATTTACTTTCGGGTTTTTCTGAAAGTAAAAAGGAGCATAAATGAGGGGTTTTCATTCAGATTAACTTCCTTTTAACATCAATTCAACAGTGATGTCATGTGAAATCTTGATCGCTTTTGCGGTTTATTTCTAATTTAAAGCCCCGTTTTCTCATGGGATTTCCCCCGTGTGATAAACTCCAAAGTTAAACAAAAGTCAAACCACCCTGTAAAGTAATCAGAGTTAATAAGAGCTAAAACAGATTTACTCTCCAATTTTATATTATTTTGGACTCTTAAGTAGTATAGAAGAAGAAATAAACCCCACATAGTTAGCATATGTGGAGAGCCAGCATAGTGTAGTGTAGTGTAGTGTAGTGTAGTGTAGTGTAGTGGTTCAAGTGTTGGACTTAAACTATGACTCTGGAGACCAGGGTTCGAATCCTTACTTAGCCATGGAAACTCATTGGGTGATCTTAGGCAAGTCACACTGTCTCAGAGGACAGCAATAACAGCCCCCTCTGAACAAATCTTGCAAAACAACAACAACATGATAGGTTTGCCTTTGTTGTTAACTGCCCTCGAGTCGACCTCTATGGATGAGACATCTCCAAGACCCTCTGTCCTCCACTGCTCTGCTTAAATCCTGCAAACCCATACCCATTACCTCCTTAACAGAGTCCATCCATCTGGCATGTGACCTTCCTCTCTTCCTACTTCCCTCCACCTTCCCCAGCATTATTGTCTTTTCCAGTGATGTGTCCAAAGTACAACAGCCTCAGTTTGGTTTTCTTGGTTTCCTGGGAAATTTCTAGTTTGATCTGCTCTAGGACCCATTTGTTTGTCCTTTTGACTGTCCATGGAATTCTCAGCACTCTTCTCCAGCACCATATTATCTCAAATGAATTGACTTTCTTCATATTATCTTTCTTGACTATCCAGCTCTCACATCCATACATGGTAATAGAGAATATGATGTCTTGTATGATTCTAACTTCTGTGTTGAGTTGTATATCTTTGCATTTTAGAATCTTTTCTATTTCTTTCATAGCCACCTGCCCCATTCTTAAGCTTCTTATGATTTCCTGACTGCAGTCCCCATTTCTATCAATGTTTGATTGGGTCCCTGTATGTCAGAAATGATTTGAAAGCACACAACTACAAAATTAGCACATTTGGCATCTGCTCACTTGGGCTAATTTTTTTTTGAAATGGGAAACTGAGAAACAAGACTACAAATTAGCATCACTATTTCTGTCATTTCCTGCCAACAATACAAGTAGATTGTGCTGGAAAAGTCAAAGCTTTAATCATAATCATCACTCCCCACCTCTCATCCCGCAGCTGCTTTTAACTAAAGACAAAGACATAATCACAGGCAGTCTTAGCTCCAGTGGACAAAACAGCAATGTTCAGTCAGCTTTACTGTGAAATCACTTCAAATGTTGAGGTTGTTTTTAAAAAGGAAAAACAGCTTCCATTAAGGCCAGCTAGGAAGCAACCCAAGTATTTGGGTTCTCCTTGGGGCTCTGGTGTTCAGCCAGAGGAAGATGAGGTGGGTGGTACGGTTGAGACTTTCTGCCTCAGTTGTTCCCTCACCAAGTTGCTCCCCCCATTGCTTATCATAGTTTTAGGCTGCATCTACACTGCAGAAATAATCCAGTTTGACACCACTTTAACTGTCATGGCTCAATGCTATGGAATTCTGGGAACTGTAGTTTGTTGTGACACTTCTGTTGCTGTAACAAACTGCAGTTCCCGGAATTCCATAGCATTGAATCATAGCAATTAAATAGGTGTCAAATTGAATTATTTCTGCAGTGTGGATGCAGCCTAAATTAATTAAATAGTCTGACACAGTTATTCCCAAACTTTGGTCCTCTGAATGTTTGGAACTTCTGCTTCCAGAATTCTTGACTTTGGCCAAGCTGACTGGAGCTTCTGAGAGCTGTAGTCCAAAACACCTGGAGAACCAAATTTGGGAAACATGTCAATATTTAACACAGGTTCTTGTGTCTGGTCTCTTTATTCTCATTGTAGGTCAGCAATGGTAAAATCACTTCATATGTTTAGGAGTTCTTAAAAAATAATAATAACAGTTCCCTTATTTCATTGTTCTGTGAGTTGTTTCTCCAGGTGCTGGGAAATGTGCATAGTATATTTGTGAACATTATTTTAGTTAGGTAGTAAACTCTTTTCTCCAGCCTGTTAAGAGGTTCCTGGTAATGACTTCTAATGTACTTCTGCAAAGAGTGTTAGAAAGCTGTTTTTTCCCCCCTTCAACTAATGTACTTTGAATTGGTTAACTAGCTGGATTTGTTGGTTAAAAGAGTAATTAAATTTTGATACCTCCTTCAGGCTCTTGAAAGAAAGCAAAATTAAGCGTGAAATAAATGACTGCAGGCTACAACTCCATGGTCATTGTGATAAAAATAAATGATAGGGAAACTTCTTTTTTTAAAAAAATAATTTTATTTTGACAGATAAGACAAATAAGACAAAATCCACATTAAAACAATATAATACAGTCATACACCAAACATCCACTTCCCAGACCACTAAATCATAAAACAACAATACATATAAATACTTTGCAAATCTTAAGTTGATTTTCCGATTTCTTATTTCCCAAGTGATTACCTCTACTTTAAACCTAAATTTAACATTTCTTTCTTATACTAAGGTTACATAAGACTATGACATATTCCTTCCATGTCTACTTTAGTTACATTCATAAGTTTCTATCTATAAAGCACACCACATCCTATTCGTTAAGATATTAAAAAGTAATTAAATTTGTTTCAACCTAATCCAGCTCAATCTTATTCACTTTCTTCAAATTTTATCTTATAATTTTTAACTAATTCCCATTGTTGCTTCCTCATATCCACATCTCTATTTTGAATTAAAGCTGTTAAGATATCCAAATTCATTGCTTCTTTTAAACCCTCTTTAAACCATTCTTTTGCATTAGGTATTTCCTTTTTCTTCCAATATTTTG